GCTGCAGCAGACTTAAGAAACTAACACTACTGAAAGTGATATTTTATACATACACAGACATATGTGAATATATATATTCATTTGATTTGAAAGAATGACAGATTTTTCTACTGATTAACCCTCCCCCCCAATCTCTGCAGCAGCAGGGATGGGCCAGGCCAAAGCCAAAAGCCTGGAGTCCCATTGCTTACCCCACAAGGATGTCAGGAGCCCAGGTTGGGCCATGTTGCACTGCTTTCCCAGGTGCATTTGCAAGGAGCTGCATCAGAATTGGAGCACCAGGACTATAACAGGTGCTCTGAGAGGAGATTCCAGCATCACAGGTGCTGGCTTCACCCGCTGCGTTACAATGTCACTCCCTGAATTCAGGTATTAGGCATAATTTGCATTCAGTAAAAATCTGTCACTTTAGTTGGACAGTGTAACTGTCATCACAATAAAGATATAGAACATTTTATCACCACAGAAAGTTCTGTCGTGCCCCTTTGAAATTGATCTTCACTCCCATCCTAGATCTCGGTAAAAACAAATCTTATTTCAGCCTCTAGAAGTTGCCTTTTCCAGATACAGCACACATAGAATTATATAGAATGTTTATATTACAGTTTGACTAATTTTTTATTGGGAGATTGTTGTGCCTATATTTATAACAGTAGATTTTTCTTTTTTATTTTTTTTAAGAATAAAATAATTTTTTTAAAGAAAATATATTCTAAGAAAAACATCTTTAATTTACATTATAGCCAAAGGCTTACTGGTTCCACTTAAAGAGATTGCCAAGTACAAAGAGAAAAGTTCATGGTTCAGCAGGAAAAACAATCATAGGCTATATTACTCAAAGTAAAAGGTGGCCAACGTGATTCATACAAAGTAAATTTTAAGGGCCCAGCGTGATGCCCTAGCAGCTAAAATCCTTGCATTGAATGCGCTGAGATCCCTTATGGGCACTGAGTCTAATCACAGCAGCTCCACTTCCCATCCAGCTCCCTGCTTGTGGCCTGGGAAAGCAGTCAGGGAAGGCCCAAAGCCTTGGGACCCTGCACCCACATGGGGGACCCGGAAGAGGTTCCTGGTTCCTGGTTTCAGATTGGCTCAGCTTGGCTCAGCTCCAGCCGTTGAATCACTTGGGGAATGAATCAGCAAACAGTAGATCTTCCTGTCTTTCTCTCTGTATATCTGACTTTCCAGTAAAAATAAATTTTACAAGTAATTATTTTCAGTTTGGTATTATTGAAAGGAAAACTGACACCGACGGACACAGAGAGGAAGAGATCTCTCTTCTGGTTCTCTTCCCGAATGATCACAGTGGCCAGAGCTGGGCCAGGCCGAAGCCCGTAGCCCGGCACTCCACCTGGATCTCCCACAGGGTGACAGGTGTGCAGGCATGTGACCTATCTTTTCATTTCACCAGGTGCTTTAGCAGGGAAAGTGGATCAGATTGAAGCAGCTGACACTCGAGCAGGTCCTGTGATGGGAATGTCAGCGTTGCAGCTAGTGGCTTAACCCACTGTGTCACACCACTGGCCCTTTCAGTTCTTTCAAGTCTTAATTTTCCCTTTTACCTTGCTGATAAAATTATTGAAGATATTGTTGATTGTGTAATCTCTGAATCTGTCCCTATGATGTATTATTTCTGCTGGATCTTTTATGTTGCCTTGCTTCAGGTTATGCCTGGTTATTTCTGAATTGCATCTCAATCTTCATATTTGACAATTATTGGAGAAATTATGTGAGATTTGGAAGTTATGCTCCTCTGGAGAGGATTTGTTTTTCATGTTTACATGGCTAATCAGGGTGGGCAGGACCAAGGGGGTAGGGAAAAGTGATTGAAAACATTGTTTCCAAATTTGCTATTTCTTCTTGTTTCTGGGGGAAGGGAACAGGTAAAAGGGGGGGGGGGGCACATCCAGCTTCCCAAATGTCCCAGTGCCCCAGGATGAGGAACTGCCATACACCATCAACGAAGAGTCCTGATGTTTGCATGTTCTGAGGGTTCTGCCCAGGTGGTTTGGATACTTCTGAAATGCTGTCAAGTTCACCAATCCAGTGTTGATGCAGTCCTCTCTATGTCCACTGGCTGACCTAGTCAATCTTAAATCTCCATTCACCCAGATTTTTTTTTTTTTAAAGATTTATTTTTATTATTTTTTCATTGTAAAGGCGGATATACAGAGAGGAGAGACAGAGAGGAAGATCTTCTGTCCGATGATTCACTCCCCAAGTGAGCGCAACGGGCCGATGCTATGCCGATCCGAAGCCAGGAGCCTCCTCCGGGTCTCCCACATGGGTGCAGGTTCCCGAAGCTTTGGGCTGTCCTCGACTGCCCTCCCAGGCCACAGGCAGCAGGGAGCTGGAAGGGAAGCGGGGCTGCCGGGATTAGAACCGGCGGCCATATGGGATCCCGGGCGTGCAAGGCGAGGACCTTTAACCACTTGCGCCACCGCGCCGGGCCCATTCACCCAGATTTTTGCTGTCATCATTTGGCTGGGATGATTGTCCAATTTGTTCTGATCTTCTGCTTCTGCTTTGGTGCCAAGTGGGCTGCCATATTCTCCATGAGCACCTGGGTCTATGTCCACTGTTCCACCTTTTTCACTGAGGAGGACATACCCTTGCAGTCAAGTCCAAGGACCTGGGCCAGGTGATATAAGCCCTGCTGGATCTCCTGCTCCTGGGGTTCACAAACCCACCTCAAAGGAAGGCACAAGGACCCAGGCCAGGTGGCCAGAGTCCCACAGGATCCGTCTCTGGTCTTATCTGTCATCAGGGTTGCTGATCATATGGCAAATAGAGATGATGTTCTCGTGCTGTGAGGAGTAATTTTCCCAAGAAGACACTGACTGCAAGGAACTGAAGTGCATACTGATCACAATTCACATTCTTTTAGAGAAAGAAAAAATTCAGGATCCCAAGGCTTTAGCCAAACCTCCCAGGCCATAAGCAGTGAACTGGATTGAAAGTAGATCAGCTGGGACATGAACCAGTATCCATATGGGATACCAGCATTTGGAGGTGGAAGATTAGCCAGTTGAACCGTTGTGCTGGCCCCTGGAATCTGTTAGTTCCAAATTTTTGTGGGGAAACTGGGGAACACCCAAAGTCCTCTTATTCATTCTTATTTCCTGCCAGCAACTTGATGTTGCTAAATGAGACAGGATAGTGTTACTGAACAGGCTTTAGTTTGAACCACAGCTGCTCAGCAACTGTGTGATCTGGGACCTGTTGCTCCCTCTTAGATATTCAGTTTCCCTCTTTAATAAAAAGTGAGATGCTGGGATAACCAAGCCAACTCACTCTGCTTATATACTGTGGCAAAGTCACTGATGCATTAGTTGAATGGCTGATTTTTTTTCTCATTTTTTTCCTTAAAGATTTGTTTATTTTTGTTGAAAAAGGTAGGTTTTGCTGAGAGCAGAGACAGAAAAATCTTTAATTTGCTGTTTCACTCCTCAAGTGGCTGCAATTGCTGAAGCTGACCACATCTTTAAAAAAATATTTTTTGGCCGGGCAACATGGCCTAACAGCTAGAAGTCCTCATCTTGAACACACTGGGATCCCATATGGGCACTGGTTCTAATCATGACAGCCCCGCTTCCCATCCAGCTCCCTGCTTGTGGCCTGGGAAAGCAGTCAAGGACAGCCCAAGGCTTTTGGACTCTGCACCTGTGTGGGAGACCTGGAAAAGGAGCTCCTGGCTTTGGGTTAGCTCAGTTCTAGCCGCTGAGTCACTTGGGGAGTGAATTATTGGATGGAAGATATTTCTCTGTCTCTCTTCCTCTCTATATCTGACTTTCCAATAAAACTTATTTTTAAAGATTTATTATTTGAAAAGTGGTGTGACACATAGAGGGTAAGAGAAAGACAGAAAAAGATCTTCCAGGGCTGGCACAGTGGCACAGCATGCTAATTTTCTACCTTATGGCGCTGGCATCCCATATGCTGTTTCGTGCCTCATACTCCATTTCTGATCCAGCTCTCTGCTTATGGCCTGGAAAAACAGAGGATGGCCCAAGTCCTTGGAAGCCTGCATCTGTGTGGTAGACCCAGAATGGGGCCTAACTCCCAGCTTCAGATCATAATTCTGGCCATTGCAACTATTTCGGGAGTGAACTAGCACGTGAAAGACCTTCTCTATCTCTCCTTCTCTCTGTAAAAATCTTTTATCTATCTATTTGGTTCACTCCCCAAATATCTGTAATGCTCAGGGCTGGACCTGGCCAGTTCTTGAGCCTGGAACCCCTTCTGGGTCTCCCATATGTGTGGCAGGAACCAAGTACCTGAGCCATTTGCTGCTGCTTTCGTAGGTGCATTTGACAGGGGCCTGGAATAGAAGCACTGCAACAGGGACTTGAACTGGCTCATATGGGATATCAGCATTGCAGGTGATGGCTGTGGCGCAATGCCAACCCCCATCACTTTGTGTGCAACTCCAGTGACAGGAAGGCATCTTACAAGCATCTCACCTGTGTAGGACATAAAACTGACCTCACTCTGTTGTGCTGAGAACATTCCTGGACCAAAAGCATGGCCCCACTCATTCTGAGTCAGTGACAGGGTACAGGACCATTGTTCAAGGGCTGGGTCTGAGGTGATGCCTAGAGATGCAGCTTGAAAAATAGGTAAGACAAGATCTTGGCTGTCAATTTGTGTAGCACAAGCTTCTCACTTGTGTACAAGTTAGGCTAAAACTTGAAAAAGTCATTATGATTGATACTTTGAAGTGGAATTTAGAGGAAGAGTCTGGAGACATCCCTGGAAGTGCTGGAAATGATTCCTGTAGACTAGGCAGGGCATTGTTTGAGGGCTTAAGAGACACTGCCAATTTTCATTTTTATTCCTATTTTAATATATTTCAACCTTTTTATAAGTATAAGGAAGACAAAGTAAAATTACCCTCACTCCTTTCTTACTCTGGTTCTATACATTTACAAATTAAAGTATGTTACTTTTTTTAGTGAGAGGTGTTCATGTTGCCTAGCAGTTAAGAGGCCTGTGTCCCAGTGCTCGCTTCAGCAGCACATATACTAAAATTGAAACAATATAGATAAGATTAGGATGGCCCCTGTGGAAGGATGACATGCAAATTCATGAAACCATCAATATTTTTTCAACACTGTTTGTTGTAACACATGGGTTTTGATATTTTTGTTATTTTTCATTTCTTCAGAATAGTTTTTCTTATTGAATTCTTCACTGATTCATAGATAGACAGTAGCATCATTTTCTCCAAGAAGGTTTTTTGTTGTTTTCATTTCTTTGACACACTGGTTATTCAGTAGCATGTTATATAGCTCCATGTTGTTATAGATTTTTAAAAACTTTATCCTGTTGTGCCTTTTCATTTAAGGTGATGTATAGTAACTGTCATGGAGACCATCATATCCAGATGTGAGAATACAATGCAGTATGCATCTCTATGTTGAGATCAAAGATGGAGTCCCAATGAAACTGTTAAATCTTGACAATAGGATGCTGGACTGTCTGCTATTGCCCATACCCACAATTTCAGGATAAACTTAAACAGCACAATGATGGAGTTATGACTGCCTATGAAGGACTATAAAATTATAATAAAATAGGGAAAATCAGTGGTGGGGAGGTTTGGGGAGAATAAAGAATTCCATGTTTCAGGGATCACTGTCCCTAATCCCCGCACTGCTAGAACATTAAAATGTAATTTGGAATCTGAAAAAAAAAATTAAAGACCTGTGTGGCACCTCAGAAGAGTACCTGGGTTCAGTACTTGGTTGCACTTCCGATTCCCATTTCCTCCTCCTGCAGAACCTGGGACTGTGGGATAGCTCACATGGTTGGGTTCCCAATATCTGGGAGGGAGCCCTGGGTTGAGTTCCTGATCCAGTGCCAGCTACTGTGGGTACTTAGAGAATGAACCAGCAGATGGGAGATTTGTCTTTACCCTTGAATAAATCTTTAAAGTATTTTGATTATTCTATACACACCATTCTTCTTAATTTAGTATATTTCAGAGATCCATTCATTCAATAGAAATTTATTGCATACTATTTTAGGTGATAGAGATGCAATGAATAAAACAGATTTGTCCCCACGGATCTTTTATATTGATCAACACAGATTTGTGCCATTTTAAAAACAGTGACAGAACTATTTTATAGTGTACGAAATGTACTGTTTTTCATCCATCTGTTTTGTTTTCCCCTTTCCAAATGGTATGTGTCAAACAGTTTCTACATTTAAGTTCATTTTTTCTTTTGCTATTAGTGTTTTTTTTTTAAATAAAAACTTGCCTGTCCCAAAATGGTGATTTCCTCATGTTTTTCTTTTTGAGGTTCTATGATCTAGGACTTGTGTCCTTCAGTCTCCTGATTAAGGCTTAGTGTGGTATGAAGCACAGAGATTGGTTAGGAAGTCATGGGGATTTTGTTTGAATGACTGCACAAGAGGCTTTTTGCCTTGGAGGGTGGAGTTTTGTGAGCTGTAAGCCTAGAGTTGCTGTTGAGCATCTTTGTTGTCTGAGAATAAAGCTGATACAGAGGAAAGCAGACACCTGAGATGGAAAGAGGCAGTTTCTGGACAACCTTGCTGGAAACCCTGAATCCCATTGGACTAAAGTCCTATGTCCTCGGATCCTTGAGTTAAGTGAACCAGTGGAGCTTTGTTTTTGGTTTTAGATCTGTATGTGTGTCAATTGCAAATGAGTTCTAGGTGATCAGTTAACACAATAAGAATGTAGCATGACTTCTGAGGAGACTTCGCAAGGTTCCTGGAAAGGAGACCCTGACCATAGCCTTGCCTCTGGCCGCTCCACAGATCTTTCCATTCACACATCACATCCTAGTGTTCTGTGGGGCTGAACTTGAGACCTTGAGTGTTGTCTGCTACAACGAAGTACCGCAGACTGGGCTGTGAACCACAGTGAGTAGCAGTCCTTTGCTACTTGAGGCCTGGAGCTTGGAAGCCCCACAGGAGTGTACCAGCACAGTAAGGTCTGGTGAGGGCAGGTATTTAGTGCCTTAAATTTTACGCAGACTCATCCAGGCTGTAGATTACTGTTGTCTCAGTGTATACCAAAGCAGTGCAAAGAGTGCAAGAGCTCTCGGCCCCTTGTCCAATGGGCTAATGCCATTCATGGGGGCTCTACCCTCATGATTTCATCACCTCCCAAAGGACTCTCTTCCTGTATCATCTCCACATGGAATGAGGTTTCGACCCATGAATATTAAGGTGGGGGTGGGGGAGACACACATTTAGTCCTTTATAGACCCGGAAACACAAACGACCAGGAACTTCAAACAGAAGTAACCATTTGAGTAACATTTGCAGAGTAAAATCTTGACAAGGGCATTTATGTGATTCATGTTCATTTGGAAAGTGAGAGGATGCCAGGGATGGAAGAGAGCTTTGGCATAAATGTCAGAAACAGATTTCAGTGGCTGAACTAGATTAAAATTCTTGGGTAGGTTACTTCTTATGTCCCAATTCATCCATAAAAATGTGGATGAAGAAGACTTTGTGTCATTGTTGTGAGGATAACATGAGATGGTTTGGGGCAGTGTGACAGACTGGGAAGAGTCCACAGAAGGGTAATGGGAGTGGATAGTAGAGACCCAACCAAGCTCTCATAACTAGGCACAGCCAGGAAAATGAAATCTGATTCTTGTTCTGCTCAGTAGGCCACCTAGCTTTTAACTGTTTCAATGGACAGTTCTGGAAACTGCCTCCAGGTTCTCAGGTAGGGAAGGGGAAAGATGGAGATGATCAGATCCTGTTTTTCCCTTCTTATCAGAATGTTTTCCTTAAACATTCTCCAAATACTGGTCTGAGATCATCATATGTGCTGTAGGTGCTGTGGGTACTGACGCGATATTACCTCAGAGATCTGGCCAATAGGCTTCTGATTTCCCAGAACTTCCAGCCCAAGCTCTGCCTAGTGGCTATTGCTAACAAAACACCCAGTCCCAAAAGGGTCAGGGAGTGTATTGCCCCTGGAGGAGAGGTGTAGATTTTTGTGCTGTTCGCTAAGCTCTAGCAGGACAGGTTCCTTGCAGAACACGCCCAGTGTATGGTATAGTTCTTCCCCGGGGGAAGGAGGTACTCACGTTCTGCTCTCTGGTCATTGGACCAAGAGGGTCAGTGCGGGATGCACAGGTTTCCCAGGAGGGGACTGAGGAGTACAGAAGGCCACCATCTTTCATGAGCTTGTTGAGTCTCCAGCGGCTCACTCATATCTCACAGGGTCAGGTTGTAGACTACAGTGCTTAGCCCGCTTGTCAGAGAGAATGCTGTTTATTTGCACCAGCCCCTGGAGGGTGGGGTGGGGCTGGCTCCTGCGCTCTGGTCAGCCCAGACCTGTTCTTGGTCACCTTTCGGTGTGTCAAGGCCGGACTTTTGCCTGCCCTCCTCAAACAGGTGTCAGTGGGAGCCTGTGCTGTTACATTCCCCAGGCACCCCAGGAGCCAGATCCTTTGATGGTCCCTGTCTTATAGATGAGGAGACTGCCTTTCAGAGGTCCCAGGACTCCTGCCAAGGATCTTGTACACGTAGAGGGAATGGAGAGTTGGCATGGAAGCCTAGCTTTGAGAACTTCAAAGGCTGTATTTTTTCTTTTCCACCAAGATACCCTGCACTGAACATAGTAATTATTTGTTACCTGCAGACACTATCAGTCAGAGAACCGAAGAAAAACTTGGAATTGCTGCAGAATGGAAATGCCTCATTATCCACAATTCTACTTGCGTCTCTTTTGCCTGCTTCTTGCCTGGCTCCCTCGCTCCCTTGCTCCCTCCCTCCAGTTTCTTCTACAAGCCTTCCTTTTATCTAAGAACCACTGCCAAGCCACAATTTCCTGTGTTTTTGTCTTATTATCCAAGGAGGAAAGTGGTGTCTGTTGGAGTGATCTGTAACTCGGGGCCATAATTACTTCTGGACTATTTGGGTCCAAAGGGTTGGTGAAGCATCTCCAAGAAATACCACAACCTTCCGGTTCTTTCACCTCTTTGATGGAAATTAAACAGAGGGAAACAACTTTATTGAAGCACTATTAAGCATCATATACAGAATATATACATATATGTGTATGTATTTATATGAAGGGACTTCAGAACATGGAGTGCAAAGATAAGCTTGATACATTTTTTTTCTAAAATCCATGCATGTCAAGGGTCTTTTGAAAAAATTCATGCAAAATGCATATTATGAAAAAGCTCTGGCTGGATTTCAAAATTTTTTTGCATTAAAGCATTTTTTCCATTCCATTTTCTATGAACTTTTTGAAGCACCTATGTATGTTTTGGATAAATGTAGTCCTCACCACAATCATTTGGTGTAGGCCAGTTCTTGCTATCACACAGATGAGGAAACAGAGTCTGAGTGGAAACCTCAAGGCCAAGGTCATGGAATGTAAGAGCTGAGATCTGAGCCCAGTCGGCCTAACTACCAGTCTGCCCTCTATTGCTTACATTGTACTTCCTTCTTGTTTTAAGAGATTCACAGTCAACTGAAACCAATACTATAAACCTAGTAGTAAAATCCATTTTATGTATCCTGTTCGAAGTTGGCAGGTGAATGTATTCTGGTAACTACCATCACAAATTACTATTTGTATTATCCTAAAAATTCCCTTGAGCCCCTCTCTGATCAACCCTACACACACCTCACCAGCCCAGATAACAACTAAGCTGCCTTTTATTACTATAGATTAACTTTCACTTTTTTTAAAATAAGAAATTCACACACTTAAGACTGGGCTTTTTTTGCTCAGCATAATTCCTCTCAGATTTATATATATAAAAAACACCTGGAAATATTTGACAAATGTCTCTGCGTATTCCTCCATTTCCTGCTTAAATGCTTTTAATTCCTATGAATGGAATTTATGTCATTTACAAAGTATGTGTTTAACTTTTCAGAAAACTGCCCAACTGTTTTTCCAAGTGGTACCATTTTATATTCCCAGGAACACCATTGTAGTTTGAGTTGTCCTCTATTCTCATTAACACCTAGTATTACCAATGCTTTCAATTTTGAACTTTACACATACATTTTAATTTGTTTATAATTGTGTCTCATTAGATTTTAATTTTTATCTCCCTGAATATTTGCATTGCACACGATTTTAATCTATCTGTA